ACCAAACCAAACCACAATGCACATCCATCATCTAAATGTGTGCTTGGACAACCACAAGAGTTTCAGATTTTTCTTAAATGCTGTGAAATAAGTATGAGGTCAGCTGCACGCTTCTTTTTATGGTTTTGGCAGCTGCAAAGCAACATAAGTGCTGTTGACTGGACCAAGATGAATATTTGTATACAGCATGGAAGAGTCCTCTTCAGCATGCTGAAAGAACAATTAAGAAATTAGTGATTAGATAGATAGATAGATAGATAGCTAGATAACCTGTGATTGGTTTGGATCTAGATGCTGTTGAATAACTTGTGTCGGCTGTAGGTCAGTGTTATGAAGTTGTTGTGAAAGTTCTGCAGGCCTTCTATTTCTACAAGCACAAACCTTCAATAGTCCTTCCTATTCAATAAAATAATAAATGTTTATGCAATTACAACACTTACAGCATTATATTGATATTTTTATTGGTTATCAACTCGATCTCATGAGAAAACGTAACTATTTCACAGGGAGGATTTTGTGTGATGTGATTCATATAGAAACTAATTTAATAGTGCTGTTGACTGGACCAAGATGAATATTTGTATACAGCATGGAAGAGTCCTCTTCAGCATGCTGAAAGAACAATTAAGAAATTAGTGATTAGATAGATAGATAGATAGATAGATAGATAGATAACCTGTGATTGGTTTGGATCTAGATGCTGTTGAATAACTTGTGTCGGCTGTAGGTCAGTGTTATGAAGTTGTTGTGAAAGTTCTGCAGGCCTTCTATTTCTACAAGCACAAACCTTCAATAGTCCTGAGAATTCAATAAAATAATAAATGTTTATGCAATTACAACACTTACAGCATTATATTGATATTTTTATTGGTTATCAACTCGATCTCATGAGAAAACATAACTATTTCACAGGGAGAATTTTGTATGAATTTGTATGTTGTGATTCATATAGAAACTAATTTAATAAAAAAAATACAAATAAAAAAAAAGATTTTTCAAAAAAGCAAGCATAAAGGTAATCTAAATCTAACCATCAGTGGGACATAAGCGAATTGTATGTATAAACATATGAATGGGAATGTACAAATTCATACGAATTAGCCACCAACTTGTGAAAATTTGAAATAGTTACAAATTGCCTTAAGAGTGTGTTGGGCTATTGGCCGATATTATAGATTTTTAAGTTTATTATTATCGCCTGATATTTTATATTTGATGCTAATGAATTGAGCATTTCTTTATTTTGACATTTAGATTGCCTTTACCATCATCTAACATTCTTTTAAAGTTTATGTTTTAAAACAAAAGTAATTAAATGTTAAATGTAATCTTCAGAAAATATCAAAATGTCAATATACTGTATATTGACATTTTGACAAAATGTCAAAATGTCATACTGTGTATATATATATATATATATATATATATATATATACAGTGTTCGAATTGTATCAAAGCTCTTGGGGGGTCAGAATCGTGTGTGATTGGTTATAATGAGCAATGCTGTAAAAATGCGTAAAAATAAAATATGATGTACCATAACCAGGTCTAAATTTAATACAGCAATCGAAATTTCATTTTAAGTATTAAAGTTTTATTGAAAAACCAGGGGACCCAGGCCGTAGTTAATTACAGCATGCTGATATACAGCCATATCTCACGGCTACTCGTGTGATATTGTGTTTACACAACAGTTCGATGGCACAAGTGTGTAAATACATAAGAAACAACAACGGAGTGTCTTTAAAAACTCTCTTTTGTGCAGAACTACTTCCTTCCGCCACAGATTCTAATCTAAATTTAACAGTTTAACAGCTGAGCCCAAGCCTCTGTTACTAATTCCAAAACATCACTTTAGAACTAGTAATGAAGGAACGTTGAGTTGCTTCATTTTTTACACGAATGAAAACTCACCTATGACAACAATGACTAAAACAGCATTTATCAGGCCAGATATGAGGGTAAGAGTCTGCCATGACGTCTGCTTCTGCTCAATGTACTTCATCGATGTATGATTCTGCTGAATATACTGCACTACTGTATAATTCTGACACTCAGTTGGTGGAGCTGGTTCTGTAAGGAAGGAATAAAGTCACAATCGGTTAATAATCTCTAAATAGTCACTGTACTGAACGGCTTAATTAGCAATAGTGCACTTACCAATGATGTACAGTCTGGTGCCGTTGCTGAATTGTGGATTTCCGTCTGGGCTCATACAGAAATAAACTCCTAACTCATCCGTAGTGACATTATTAATGAACAGATGTTTAGAGGTCACCGAATATTTTTGTTTGTAACTTGCATTATAGTAAAAAGGAGTTGGGTTTGAGAATGAGCGTAATATCATAACTGAAGAAAATGGAAGTTTCAGTAAAAACCAATAAACCTCATTTTTAAGATCACAGTTTATGGTCACATTTTGCCCCAAATTTATTAGCTGATCTGTTAAAGTCTCTGCTGCTTGACACCATATAAGAAGACCTACAAGAAAAAAAAAATCAAAGATTCAGATTCATTCTTCATAAAAAATTTTTTTTACAAACATTTCGTTGGCTGCTTTTCCTTTATTATCCAGTCCATTTGAAAACAATAAATTGGTCTACCTATTTTTTACATGTTTCTATGCAACATTAAAACTATCAGGAGAAATCTAGTGTGTCTAAACTTTTGACTGAAATAAAGTTCAGAAAGCACATTAAAAGCTGTAATACTCACAGAGATGAAGCTGCAATATCCTCATGTTGTAGCTGCAAATAAAGCACTTGATATGAAACCGGGGTCCCTCCCAGACAGCACTGAATGCTAGTACACAGCAAAGAGAGAAAAAATTCAACCACGCCAAGCACAGGAAGTCTGCTCTGATCAGTTTTTTTTCACCTATCATCTACATTTCATGAGTAACTGGGTGGAGATATTGCATAATATAAATCTAAAGGGTTAGATATGAAAATAAACATGGGGAGTGAGGGGGGAAAAAAACCCTGAATTGAGACAATCAAGACTTAATAAAATGTTGCAATTAATTTCTGAGCATCCAGTCCCTGATAGCACACATACATGCGAGTTTTCATCTGATGTGCAAATTGATAAAAAAAAAAACATATTATACAGACACTTAAAGGCAGGGTAAGCGATTTTAGAAAACTGATTCGGGCCGAACAGCAAAAAAAACTTGTAGCCAATCAGCAGTAAGGGGCGTGTCTACTCATGATGTGGAGGAGAGAGCGTTCAGTCCGAGCCAAGCGACAGAAAGATAGATAGAGATGGCTGATAAAAAACAAAAGAGGAAAACATCTGCGGAACAAACGAAGGCTTAAGGCAATAAGGCAAGAAGTAGGACCCATGTAAATATCGGATCAGTTTTCCAGCACTGGAGAGAACTCAAAGAGCGGAAGGCTTGCGATCGGACGCTGAGGTTGCTTTGTTTCTTCTCGATAGGTGAGTAACACCGTGTCTGCGCCGCAACAGCTAAAGTCTGTCTAGTTAGTACACTGGACGCGACAAAGCGACCGTTGAAAATCATTTGAAATCTGTGTCAATACGTCATAAATAGAAGGCAGCAGCAGTTTTCTGTCAGGGATTTGTCGTGTCGTGCCGCACCGCATCTAGTGTAGACCATAGATATGAGTATATATATATATATCTATGGTGTAGACAGCATCACTGATTATAATGAGTTCTGTATGTAATATACATGCACACACACAACACGTAACCTGCAGGTTTGTAAAACATTTATGTTTTAAAACATGAATAACAGAATGTTATGTTTTTTTGATGCAGTAATGTTCTACATAGAATCTTAAAGAAGGGGGATGTAGCATACCAGTTGAATGGTATGTGTGTTTAAGAGGGCGTGTTCAATAATTGGGTGTGTTCTTGATGAGGGTCTAATGGCGGAGTAAAAATGCATGGATGTCTGACAGCTCTCCTGTGTGTTTAATCTCACTGCACGAACCCACGACATAACAATGATCATTAATGAATTACATTTGGTAGATTATACCTCCATTAATTAGGGTGGCCATATGCGCCGTTCATACGGGACACGTCCCGGCCAGGATTTTAATATTGCCTAAAATATCCAGGTTTTGGCGACCAGGATTTTAATATTGCCTAAAACATCAAAAGCAGTTTGACCAATAACATGCAGGTATTGTACATAATATCGGGCAATCGTGGGGATGCGCGTGAGAATGCGAGATCTACAGGGGATGATCAAAGCGATGCAAATATGCGCAAGTGTTTGTTCGTTCGTTTGACTTGAGCTCTCATGAATGTCACACAACGATCGACCTGCACAGTGCAATGTCCGCGGTTTGAAGCAACCCCAATAACATAGGGTCACCATACGTGCCATTTTCCCCGGATGAGTCCTGGCCAGGATTTCTATATTGCCTAAAATATCTCGGTTTTGGCTTTGTTTGCGTGTGCAGACCGATCAGTGTATGACATCAAAATACCATACAGACGGGTCCTTATGCTTTCAAAATGCTCTCGAGGTACTTTGATGTCAAACACTGATCGATCTGAGCCGCGCTGCTTTTAAGTCGAACACACATCCTATGTACGCGTAATTGCATCGCTTTGACCGTAGATCCCACCTTCTCACACGCCATGATTGGTCCATTATGTACAATGCCTGCATGTTATTGGTCAAACTACTTTTCGATCATTACCTTCAGCAAGCATGAAAACAGGAAAAAACAAAGCCAAAACAAATCCTGGCAAGGACGCGTCCGGGGAAAATGGTCACCCCAAATAACATGATATTTAGCCCCTAAAATGTGAATTTTACTAGGGGAACCCCACCAAAAAACATTTATTTTATTTTATTTATCCAATTTTTATCGGGGGACCCCCCTCGAAACGCGATTGGACTAGTTTTGAGTAGCAATTGGACGGGTTTTGTTGTGAAAACCTGGCAACCCTGTTCTCCAGTCAAGTTTCAAAATAACTCGTACGTCACACACAGTCTGTGCAGGCAGGCGTCCGAGAGAGTCCGAGAAGAAAAACAAGAGGTTTTCATAATCTACTGCCTGCAACATGAGAACCAGGTATAGCTATGTTTTAAGTTATGTGATTTATTTTCTGTAGTAATGCAGTAGATTGCAGTTTTCCTTTATCATTGATATGACCATTTCTGTAAATGATCAATTACATTATTACTTTGCTTTTGTTGTTTGTTCATTTGAATAATTTGTTTGAACACCAAAAACAAAAATAGCTGCTTGCTTTAAGCATTTCTAATTTAGAGTGCCCTTCTGTGACTGTCCCATTGGAAGTGTGCTAGTGTGCTATATACTGTAGGAGAGCTTGGACGGTTGCAAAACTCCAGTTTTTTCCTTCAAATTTCCTTCAGTTTCTTAGAGATTGTTTGTATTAGAAAGCCAAAATTTTAATAGGCCACATCTGTCTGATACTCACCCATACTGCTGTAACATGTACATATCATAATACAATTTATTCTTGAATAGACAAAGTCAAATGTTGCAACTGACCCCAAAAGAGTGGACGGTTCCAACATTCATTAAAATGTAATTAAAATCATCCTTAAATATAATTTTGCCATTTCTTTACTTTATTTGTGCACAGACAAGGTCTTCAATACGTTAAACTGTCTGTATAAAAACATAAGCATAGTAATTGGAAAAACATTTTCAAGTAACAAGTAACAAGCTTGTTTTGGTTAATTATTACAATACATTTGAAATACAAAATATTAATTTAATCAAAATCAAGAGACTGAAATTTAATGGTTGTCTACTTCTGTTAACCTCTGTGAAAGTTTACTGAACTGGGGCCAGATGCATAAACATAGCCACTATGTGAAGACAGTGTCTTAAAGAGGGATAGTTCACCCAAAAATGAAAATTACCCCATACTTTATTCACTCTCAGGCCATAGGTGTATAATACTTTCTTCTTTCAGACGAATACAATGTTATGTTATATAAAAAATATGTCCTGGCTCTTCCAGGCTTTATAATGGCAGTGAATGGGTGATATTCAAAAAGTGCTCCACTTGGCTCCAGGGGGTTAATAAAGGCCTCCTGAAGTGAATCAATGTGTTTTTGTAAGAAAAAAATATCCATATTTAAAGGGGACCTATTATGCATAAATTACTTTTATAAGGTGTTTGAACACAGTTGTGTGGCTGCAGTGTGTGAAAACAACCAGCCTATAATGGTAAAAATCCACCCACTCATTCTTTTATAATCCCAATAAATCATAAACAGTCTCTCCAAACATACGGTTCCAGATTTCTCCCTACGTACACATCATCGTAGGGAGAAATCCCGCTCATTTGTGATGATCTCTGCCCTATTAGCATAGACACAGCCCTGAGTGAGAAGCAGCAGTCCGCCATTACTGTTTTCTTGCTGTAGCTGCTGGAGATATACAATGTCAGCACCAAAGAGGCATTACAAGTGTTGTGTTTTGGGATGCACCAACGAATGAGTCTCCATAGACTCCCTCCATCTGAGGGAGGAAACTGCGGTTAAATTTCATTTTCGAAGGAAATGTCCCGGAAAAAATCGGTAAAGTCACTTCTTCTAGAGTCTCTCCTTCATTGTCTGATTCCGGTTCGAACATATAAGGCTGAACTAGGACTGGATGATATGGCCAAAATTTACATCACAATATATTTCTTAGTTTTGGTCGATACAATATAATCCCAATATCGGTATGAACAATATTTAAAAAAGCTACACTGTAAATAGGTTGCTGTAAATTTTACAGTAACTTACTGGCAGCTGGATGCCAGTAATTTACTGTAAAAATGTTTACAGTATTAGTACTGTAATTGCATTTACAGTACAATAATGTCTTTACTGTATTTTATTTACAGTATTATTACCGTATTTTCATTTACAGTATCAGTACTGTAGAGTTTATTTTCATTTAGTTTAAACATTTTTACCTGTAAAAAACAATCCAATTATGGTACTGCACTGTAAACCATGATTTTTACCAAGAACAGATGTCTGTACCTACAAACCTCTGAAAAATGAATTTGCCAAGTCAATGAAACCTCATCCTATAAAACTATATAATATTTTAGAAATAAAAACGGTGCAAGTAATGATCACTTTTTCTTTGTATTTAGCCTCATAAAGAATATGAGAAGTGCTCAGAGTTGCTGCAGAAATCAGAAAAAAGAGTGAGCAACAACAAAAACACAAGTTGCTGGAGACGGGCTTCTTGAAAATGCAAATTCATTCTCTGCCAGCAGGAGGCGCTTTTGGAGCGGCAGAAACAGAGGTTTCCCCAGTAATGGCTGTTCACAAAGCAGCGCTCCACTCATGAACGCTTCAGATAAAGTGAAAATTACATCGAAACTTTTCTGAAGACAGTCGGTTCCCTTCAAAGATACATTCATATAAAACCACACCGCATTTTGATTTTAAAACATGCAGTGATCTGTTTATTCAACGAAATCAACCGCCACAAATAAGTCAATATATGGCAAACACTGGTAATGTATATTGCAATATCGGAAATGTGTTTACAAATCAAATCACTGTTACTGAAAAAAATTATATCGTGAAATATAGCCTATTGATATTGAATTATTGTCCAGCCCTAGGCTGAACACCGCTACTGGGAGTCTCTGACATTTTCAGTGCATGAGATTGTCCTGTTTTGTTGTTGCCAGTATGCTGGACCATGAGCTCTTGAAGCTCCGCCCTTTTCTGAAAAGGGGGCCGGGAGCACCAGCTCATTTGTATTTCAAGTAGGGGTGTGCGATAAGACAATTTTTGATCGTGGACGATTAAACTGTCTCCATGATCTGCTTTTGAAGAAATATCGTAGTATCGTGCTACAGCGCACAGTTCTGGCGCCTTCATCACAATATACTGTACAATGCGACATACATTCACATCAAATGTTAACTCAGCGGTAGAGTTACACTCACGGGACACACTGCACTTGTTCGCAATCACTAAAGTACATTATCTGCATGTGCTTTAAAGCCTTGCCAAGTAGGGGTGTGCATTCAGTTATATTTGTTCATTCAGTTTCTTGAATGGTACTGTTTAAGACCTGAAAAATAAAGTGGTTTTTTTTCTTTATATATTATGTGTATTTGTAATGTGACTCTTTGTTCCTATTTTTTAATAACACAGATAAAATAATGACAAAGATTTTTATTTTTGCCCACTTTGGCCTAAATATCTTTTTTAATTTAGATTTTGTTACCTTGTAAGGCTTTGTTTTTAAAATAGGGTCTGGCTATACTTCTCAGACAACTTGCAAAATAGTAAAACCAACATGACAAAGAATCATGATAAAATCACGATAAAATGTCCAGGATGGAGGAGAGAGGGGTTCCAATGATCCTTGCGGCAGTGTTCACTGTATGCTGTAGGGTCTTGCGGTCAGCAGCACTGCAGTTCCCATACCAAACAGTGATGCAGCTGGTCAGTACACTCTCAATGATGCCCCTGTGGAATGTGGTGAGGATTTATGGAGAGAGACTTGCTCTTTTCAGCTGGTGGAGAAAGTGGAGGTGCTGTTGGGCCTTCTTGGAGAGTGATGTGATGTTGATGTTCCAGGTGAGATCCTCTGTAATATGCACTCCCAGGAATTTAGTGCTGCTGACTCTCTCCACGGCCGAGCCATCGATGGTCAGTGGGGAGTGGTCAACAGAGTTTCTCCTGAAGTCCATCACAACCTCCTTGGTCTTCCTCACATTGAGGGACAGGTTGTTTGTACTATACCATTCAACCAGTTGTGCCACTTCCTTCCTGTAGAGTGTTTCATCATTGTTGCTGATGAGACCTACCACAGTTGTGTCATCAGCAAACTTGATGATGTGATTGGAGCTGAACTTGGCATTGCAGTCGTGAGTCAGCAACGTAAAGAGCAGTGGGCTGAGCACACAGCCCTGTGGGGCACCTGTACTCAGTGTGGTAGTGCTGGAGGTGTTGTGGCCGACACGGACTGACTGAGGTCTTCCAGTTAAAAAAAATAAAAACAATAAAAATAATTTTGTAATGTTATGGCAAGCAATTTTACATCAATGTTGTGGTAAGGGACAGCATGTTGGGACGGTTTTGAAAATGTGTTGCAGCTGTCACTACACTGACAGCTATGATAAAACTTGCTATACTAGCATGACACAATATCTTTGACACATGCTAGCTATTAGAAGCTAAGAAAACACTGATTAAAATTATATGAATGCTTCACCCAAACAGCTTAGACAGTATGACAAAAAACCTGATTGTTTGTTTGTTTATTTATTTATTTTTGCAGAAGGAATGCTCACATGTGGCAGCTTTATTCTAGGAAGGATGATGGGCTAATTGAGCATGTGCAGTATGAATATCATCACTGTAGCTTATTCCTGATTAAAGAAATAACCTTTGTTGAAACCGTCCACACTCTCCCCTATTGTGTCCCTGTATGCACTTCAGACTAGTTGTAATACACTGAACTGTGATTGTATTTCCCTAAATTTTGCACTATAATGAATTTCAAACTACTATGGGGAAGATTATTTTACAACAGTGGCCTGTAATTATGCCCTGAATAGTTGTAGTACTGTAATAAAAAAGCTTTTTAAATGCAGTAGTTTTTTTATGCAGTGTCACTGCACCACACTGCTGCAGTTACAGCTCAGCACAGAATTCGATTAGTCTGGAAAGCAAATCAATAACTTGACTGTTCTGGCTGCATCATTGCATAGTACAGGAAACAAGAAATCATAGTCAGAATAAGCTATATCCTCCAGTACAGACTTGTACTAATGGGGTGCAAATAGCAGCCAGTGCAGTGTATACCGGGTGGAAATAGTCACTTTTGTCATTTTGGTAATTTTTTGTTGTTGTTGCTGTAAATAGATATAACATACACATGTTTTTTTTTACAGGTGCTGCTGTTTCTGTATCTGTGTGTTTGCAGTATTGTTAAACAAAGGTGAGTGTAGCCATTTCCACTGGATGTGTCCAAATATTTTTATTAGTACCATATAATTTATCAGTAATTATTATTATCAGGAAGGTGACATTTGCCTCTTAGAATTGATTTTTAAAGGCTTTTTCAGCGTGTCTGCAGGTCACTGTTGAAGGTGAAGTCGGAGGCTCTGCTGTCTTGCCCTGTTCTTCTATTGACAATCATCTTAAAGAAGAAGATATAACGGTTTATTGGAGACATAATAGCAGCCAAAATGTTTATGACATAATTGAAGGTAAAGGATTGGTGGAGAGGCAGGACCCGGCGTACAAGAACAGAGCTGAAACCTTCCCTACTGAGTATATGAAAGGAAACTTCTCGCTCAAACTCAATAACCTTCAATTTAATGATTCAGGAAAGTACATCTGCTACATCACAAAGGCACATAAAAATCCAAGCACGCAGCTTTTTGTCAAAGGTATGTGAAATATGATTAAAAAAATTTAAAGAAGTTGTATTTATTTAAACATTTCCAACTTTAATACAGTTTGTTAATGACTGATTAACCCTATAAAGCCTATCATATCAATTTTCTAAGGCCTCTAAACTGACAAAAAAAACCTGCTGTGCACAATCTACTACATGCCTATAATTATATTTTATTCAAATAAATGGTCCTTTAGTATGATTGTAAAAACATCCATCTTCAGGTCATGGTTCCTGTCTTTTTGTTTGCTTTTTCCTCTGGGGGCTTGTGCTTCTGCCCTTTACAAAATTAATCAGAAGTGCCTCTCTCAACAATTATGAACAATAATATTCTGATCAATTAATCAAAATGCATTTTAATTGCAATGCAAACATGTACAAAAGGTGCACAAATGTTTTATTGCTTTATGCTTAAATGAAGCCTAGGTGCCACCTACAGCAGGCCTGGAGATGAAGTTGTACTACTGTAAAAGACATTTTACTTAATCAAATGAATTAACTATCATTATAGGCATGTAGTTGTCACACTACAAGCCAGAGACACAAGGTTTGGATGCAAACAGGTGGGTTTATTGACAATGAGGTGAGCGCAAGCTGATGGCAGGCGAGTATGATAAGATAGAGAGTTCTTGGGTTCTTGGCTCTGGGTAATAGCTGCTTAGTCCTTTGCAGGTATCTGGGGAGGAGGAGAACGGGATCGGTGGAGAACAAGGTCGACGGAGCTTCTAGGGGCAAGTAAAGGTAAGGAGTCAAGCTGAGTTCAAGCAAGTGAACTGTAGACCGGACAACGTGGGACTGAGTGGAGTGTGGAGATATAGCCAGCTTGATGAGAGACTGCAGGTGCGGGTGATTAGAATTCGGGTGATTGGGATCTTGTGTGTGTCGAGTTAGGTGACGGTGGTGACTGAGGTGTTTCCCTGACAGTAGTACAGGTACATCTAAAAAAATTAGAATATCATGAAAAATGTCAATATTTTTTGTCACTCATTTCAGAAAGTGAAACCCATATATTATATAGATTCATTACACATAGAGTGAAATATTTCAAGCCTTTATTTCTTGAAATTTTGATGATTATGGCTTACAGATAATGAAAACCCAAAATTCAGTGTCTCAGAAAATGTGAATATCGTAAATAAGTTCAATATTGGAAAGTCATGGTGTCACACCCTAATCAGCTAATTACCTCAAAACACCTGCAAAGGTTTCCCAATTTAGAGGCCTTAGAACACCTGAAATGTTGATGTGAAAGGACTTGAAAGGTCAGGTTTAGAGGGTTAAAAAGTTGAAAATAAAACTATTTTTATTTAAACATTTTTGTGACGTTTTGTCTTACAGATGGAGGAAACCATGGAGCAGCAACAAGAGCAGAGAGGATTGTGTCATCTTTAATTCTGCTCCATATTCTGCAGTATATATGACCTAGAATGAGGTGTGTGATGTGTATGAGCTGCGCATATACTAGTGCACGTAGTAGTGTATAACTCAGGAACAGAAAATGCTCTTCTGTAGCAATCTATTAGCTGATCTTCTAGCATGTGCAGATGTGATGGCATGCATGGTCTTCAGTGCACGGTGGGTCTGTAATGAAAGAGAGCTGTGAGGTATCATTCATCTCAATAGCAGTTGCTCTGCTGACACATGACGCATGGGTGTGTGGGCACTGAGTATGCACAATTTTTTTTATGCAGGTATCTGAGCCATAAATGCTTGGCTGCTAATCTCAGGGCTAAGAGAGAGCGGAAAATTAGTCACTGGCGAAAAATGCTGTAATTAAACCTATGAATGTTAAAAAAAGTTATTTTATCAGATCACAAGGCTATTTTAAATGACAGAGTACTTTTTCATATTTTGGCAAGTGTATTTTTGGAGAGCTGTAGGTGCTTGGTGCCATTTGTAAATACTGTTTTGTCTTGACAAGAAATTAAGAGATTTATTATATTTTAAGTTAAGTAGTTTATTATATAATTTTTTTTTCTTAGTTTGATTTTTGATTTTTTTTTTCTTCCATAAAGACTTTGCACATTTGCACATAATGAATATTTTAATATTTTGCAGTGATTTGTTTTGCTGGTATAAATTTTTTTCCTGCACTGTCACTTTTCTTAGCAGGAATTGTAAGCTGACCTACAAATAAGCTAATAAAAACTTCAAATCAATATTTCATGTTTTCACATATTTATTTGGTATGTATCCATATAATTAGTGGGATAATGTAGAGTCAGCTGGCCGTTATCACAGAATAAACTCTCTGCTTTGTCTCGGGGTCCTGATCATCCTGTCCAAAATTACAATTTTTGCTTTAAACACACACATCTATTATATACAAATCTATAATATTTAAAGTTTAAACTAAATTTTTCCTAAAAAAAAACTATTTTGTGACACAACCTCAGTAGTATTTTAAAATGATGTAGGAGATGCATTCTGGGATTCATGTCTGTCTCAAGTTTGCACAAGTCTCCTCCTTCTAAGTCTCCTCCTTCCAAGTATGGGTCGCTAGGTCAGAAGAATCTCAAAAGGTAAGGAGTGTGTCCAAAGGTTTCTCATTGGTGAAAGGAGCTTCTTGCTGGCATCTATGTTAACCAATCAGAGTTTGTGCATTGATAAACTACATTAGCAACGTCACATAGGCTATATGTGAATATGACAGCAGAGTTGCAGAGGCAGAGGTCCAAAACACTTAATAATAGCATTATACGCCATTAAAGAAGCTTATAAGCACAGAGTTTCACTTATTTCAGGTGCTTTTGAGAGATTTCTGGGGTGTTTAATGCATTTGATGTGTTTTCCCATGCACATAAGTTATAACTCAAGGGCAATGCAATAATTTGTATTAAAATATTAATTCAGATTGAATATTTATTGTAGGACATCAAATATGACTGTTCAATGTAAACCCTTGTAATACAAGTATAACATTTTATTTAAGAGTCACTCTTAGAGACTACAAGGGTTAAATTATAGTAAAATGTTGATGCAGGAATGTTTTTTTAACAGGCTTGCCAATATGCTTTCTTTATTGTCTTTTAAACAACTTTTGTTTAGCAGAAGAATCAGAATCAGAATGAGCTTTATTGCCAGGTATGTTTACACATACGAGGAATTCGTTTTTGTGACAGAAGCTTCCACAGTGTAACAGAATGACAGTGACAGAACAAAAAAACACAGATAATAAAAAATAAAAATAAATACAAAATAGAACAAGTAAAATAAGGTATAAAAAATATACAAATCGATAATTGTATGTACAGGTATATAACAATAGACAGTTGTATGTACAGGTATATTATGTGCAAATTGAAATGTAGACTGAGTATGTGTGTTAGATAAATAAGTGTATGAGTGAATAAATAGTGTGTGTTCCACAGTTATTGTCAAGTGTTCATGAGATGGATGGCCTGAGGGAAGAAACTGTTCCTGTGTCTGGCCGTTCTGGTACTCAGAGCTCTGTAGCGTCGACCAGATGGCAACAGTTCAAAGAGGGAGTGTGCTGGATGTGAGGGGTCCAGAGTGATTTTGCCAGCCCTTTTGCTCACTCTGGATGAGTACAGTTCTTGGAGAGAAGGGAGGGTTGTACCAATGATTCACTCAGCAGTCCGGACTACCCTCTGTAGTCTTCTGAGGTCAGATTTGGTATCTGAGCTGAACCAGACAGTTATTGAAGTACAGAGGATGGATTCAATGATGGCGGAGTAGAACTGTTTCAGCAGCTCCTGTGACAGGTTGAACTTCCTCAGCTGGCGAAGGAAGTACAACCTCTGCTGGACCTTTTTCACAATGGAGTCAATGTGAGTGTCCCACTTCAGGTCCTGAGAGATTGTGGTGCCCAGGAACCTGAATGACTCCACTGCAGTCACAGTGCTGTCCATGATGGTGAGTGGGGGGAGAGCAGGAGAAACTTGTAGCTTGACCTCAGCCTGGACTCAATTTGTGAAGCAACTTTGGTGATACCCTACCTCTCACATTGCCACATATGGTGGAGAATGCAATTCCAAAGGTGTGAGTGCTGATGACCAGCGGGGATTGGGAAGACCTGATGGTGAACTTTGCTAAGTTAAGTACAAAAGACCACAACACTACAATGGAGGAGTTGTTAAAAGCAATTCTAGAAACTAACCAAATCCAACAACAAACTAATGCTGCATTAGTAGAGGAACAAAGATGTGCAAATGAGTTGAAAGCAAAGGAGCTTCATTTAATAATGAGCCAAGAGAGCAACAAAGTCAGGGCTAGTGACTTAATTCCCAAAATGGGGGTCACCGATGATGTGGAGGCATACCTGTATGCTTTTGAGACAACTGTACATACAGAAAAGTGGCCAAAAGAACAGTGGGCTAGGATGTTAGCTCCATTTTTATCAGGTGAATCACAAAAAGCGTTTTTAGATTTAGACTCTATAACTGCAAATGATTATGATAGTTTAAAAATGAAATCCTCAGCAGAAATGGTCTCACAACACTTGGGATGGCCCTGCAAGTACATGAATGGGGTTTTCAAAAAGATCAACCTCCTCATGCACAATACCATGAACTGTTGCGATTGACGAAGAAATGGCTAGAACCTGTAAAGAACACCGCAGCAGCAGTAGTTGTTGAGAAAGTGGTGGTAGATAAGTATTTAAGAGCCCTTCCATATGAAGCAAAAAAAAAAAATAGTTAGTCCAAGCAATCCAGTAACGGCAGAGGAGTTCATAGAAGCAGTTGAAAGATATCAAGCTAATGTAAATATGTTAAGTTACCGGGCACAAGTTAGCTCTCATCTACAGACAAGGAAGAGTTCCAAAGGCCACCTGACACAGTGGTTTAGCCAGAGGAAGGCAAACAGTAGTCCCTATGAACAACAAAAATCATTGTCAGACTACAGCCCTAGAACATGCTACAAATGTGGGGAACTTGGTCAGATTTCTTGGCAGTGTGATAAACCAGATGAACCCATGCCAACAGCAGATTCTTGAGGGAGTCAGCAGACTAATTTCTTTGCTGCATTGATGGGAGCCACAAACTTCCCAGCTATGGCCTGCCCGGTGACAATAAATAGCCAGGATATGGAGGCCTTATTAGACTCAGGGAGCATGATTACCTTGGTCCATAAGTCATTAGTCAATCCAGCAGAGATCTCTCAAGAAAATACCTTTCCGGTGTCTTGTGTGCATGGATACACTCAAAAATACCCAACAACTGCACTAACCCTCATCACCACCAAAGGGAAATGTGATGTAAAAGCAGGAGTAGTGGATATGTTGCCAGTAAGTGTGCTCATTGGCAGGGCCTGCCCAATATTCCATGTCTTGTGGAAAGATATACTGGAGAAAAAGATGAGGGAGACCCAAAGGCCTAAAGGTAAATTCAAACATAGGGGAGACACTGCCCAAGGCAATCAGGATGTAAAATATGACCAAATGTTGTTTTCCAGTTCAGGCTCGTGCAGAAACAAGGGGTGTTCCAGAGGAGACAGAGACTGCTTCTGAGAAGGAGTCATCACAGGAGAGTGTGGATGAAACTGAAACCAAAGTGGAGGCTGTACCATTAAGAGGGAAATATGGTACAGAACAGCTAAATGACCAAACACTGACTAATGCAATGAGGAATATTAGAGTGGTGGAGGGGGTGGATAAGCAGTAGGGACATCTAACCTATCCTTACTTTGCAGTAAAAAAATGGTCTGCTTTATCGGGTAAATAAAAGTGGAGAGGAATCTCCAGGAACAGCTTAGTACCTAAGTCTCATAGATCAACAGTGTTGCATCTAGCTCATACCCATCTACTTGGAGCCCACTTAGGGATGGATAAAACTAAAGAAAGAATTTTGCAGCGGTTTTTTTTTTTTGGCCCGGTATTCACAATTAGGTAGGAAACTACTGCCACAGTAGCCAAGGGCCCCCTAAAATGCTTTTCATATAGGATATGCGCATTAAGCGCTGACACGCGAACGGTTGCTGTTTACGGTGTTTGTTACCACGACAACCATCCGAGTCAGTGCACGGCGCCTACAGGTGTACGGCACTGTGAGTAGCATGAGCGCTCAGACTGACCCGCAAACATTTCAGCAGTTATAGGCCTGTGTGT